CCCAGCTGGCTGAAAGCAGGTTTCTGGGGTTTTGTTTAGCTTCTATATTTGTAACAATGTTTCAAACTGCAAGCTCAGAGGCCAGCAGCGGCAGGCGGGGAACGTTGGAGTCCTCCGTCACTGAAGCAAGCAAGCCTCATGTTCCAAGCAAGCTGCCTGGCTGCTGGCCGCCATCCTGGCTGGCAGTTAATTTGCATATCGCCCTGATTAGCCAATGGGAAGGGTAGCGGAGGTACGGCTAATTACCAGGTTTCTCTTTTATTAGATAGGACTAGAGGCCTGATGCACGAAATTTGTGCAAGGGCCATGGCCCTGCCCACCACGGCTGGGGGGCCTCTGCCACCTCTGCCTCAGCCCCACCCACTGCGGCTTTGTCTGGAAGTATGTCCAGAAGGACATCCCTCTAATTAGCATATTATGTTTTTATTATATAGATGTTAAAGGGTCTCAGGATCAGAAAATGGGGAAGCAGAGGCCAGTGAGAACGATTCATGCTGGGGACCAAAGGGGATGATAATCCTCCATCTGGTCAGAAAGCCTCTGGTTGAGGCTGATTCTGAGGCTTGAGAAAAGAGAGCAGCTCACTTTTCTTTCCTGGAGATGGCTGGACTTCAGTTGGCCAAACATACAGATCTGGCCTATACACTGACAGGGCTCTCCAGAGACCTAAACCACAACGAGAGGCCCTAAGAATACTGCTTGAAATGGCCCCATCGTAGGCCTATCAAACATCCCCTTCCCCTCAAACAGTACTTTCTGGAGCCAGTGGTCAGAAGGAATCATAGCTTCCACCACTATTTTTCAGAAGTGGGGAGAAAAGTTCTAAAACCCGGGGCATCCATGCAAGTGGAGCATCTTGCCTCCATAACAGCTGAATCTTAGGCAACCAGAACCTTGGAAGTCTGTACTATGTGGGTGGGCAGCCAGGACACTGGCACAATAGTGAGGGCTGTGGTGAGACCCTGCAGTCAGACGCCGATGTGGGTGGTCCAGGGCAGGAGAGGCAGGAGGCAGGTGATTTCCTTGAGTGAGAGAAGACCATTCCTCACAGCCACCTAAAAGAGGGTTCCTCCCTCCAACGTGCCTGTACATGCACACACATACATATGCACTCACATGCCTGCACACACACACACACACACACACACACACACACACTCAACCAATAGAGGTAAGCAATTCTCCCCACCAGCCAGTCCCCCAGGACTTGCCCCCCCTTTCCTTTTCCTTTTCCTTTCCTTTTTCCTTTCTCCTTTCCTTTCCTTTCCTTTCCTGATCCAGCCCCAGTGACGTAAATGTTCACTAGCCACTCCAGCTTGCCCTCCTTAGTTGTACCTTGAAGAACCCAAAACTGCAAAGCAGGATCAGGAATTTCCCCTCTGCCCTCCCCACAATGCCCATCTTCTTCAAACACAGAAAAGCCAATACAGAGAGTAAAGAGAGACAGGAGACAGAAGCCCTGACACAGGTTTTTCAGTATGCAAGTGTTTTTGACTCCACAGCCAGTTGCTTAAAATGAAACATAAAGGGCAGCCAGAATATACACCCAAATGCAAAAAAGTAAAGGCAAACAAAATAAACCACAAAATACCATGAACCCCAACAAAACAAAAAAATTAAAACCCAAAACCCCTCAACTTTATATATATATATATATATATTTTTTTGTTGTTGTTTTGTTTTAAAAGGGAGAACAACTTCAAAACCAACTGGGCAGTTTGATGGGGGTGGGGAGCAGTCCTACAGAAGGGGGCTGAGACCCTCCCCTTGGAACAAAGAACAAACACAATACAAAGAAAATAACCACCAATGCTCCTGAATGGGTCAGGAGTCTCCAGAGAAGATTGTCCCCATCCTCAAACTGGCTTTTTTTTTTTGTCTTTTTTTTTTGTCTTTTTTTTTCCATTTTCTTCTTTTGTTGTTGTTGTTTTAGCACCTGTACAATAAAACTGTACCATCTCCAACCAGAGCTGGCCGTAGCTAGGCCCTCCTGCCTTTGGATGGCACATACTCTCTACAAGGATTGTTCGGAAAAATAGCAATTGGTAGAAAAATAAGAACAAGAGTGGGAAAGACAATTCCACACGGGGGTGGGGTGGGGACAGGGAAGCAGCCCAAGCTCATCCCTCTCTCTCCCTGAACACGCCAAGTGCTGGAGGCCGCACACTCAGCCCCGGGACCTGCCCGAGACCAGTTTTCTGCCCTCACCTAGGAAACAGCTGAGGCCAGACTTCACATCTGGCAGTCAACCCCAGAGCCCTCTGCACATTCCAAAGTAGAATAGGGGGCAGAGGGAGGAGGAAAGGGAGAGAGGAAGGGGTCCTGTGAGTCTGGTGATGGAGAGAGATGGGGGGAAAGGGTTGGGAGCAGAGAGGCTCAGTATCCACAGAGGTTAAGAGCACACAGGGGTGGGCGGCTGGAGGTGCAGGGGGCATAGCTGCAGGAACACACCCATATTGTGCACTCTGAGGGGAGCAGTGAAGAAAGCACGAGGAGGAGGTGACCTCATCCTTCAGACCCTCTCAACTCTCATCAACCCCTCTCTCCCACGATGCTGTCTCTTCCCCAGTAAACACTAATGTCAAGGTAGCAGGGCTGCTTGCTGCAAAGGGTAGGGGGCGATGAAACAGAAAAACCTGGGGGTAGGGGAGCACCAAAGCCTCAGGATTTACCCCCAAACCCCCAGCCCTGGGCCAGCACCAGCCACCTTCATTAGTCACAAGCGGATGGCTCCCACCTCTCTCCACCCCCTCCCCAGTGGTGGTAGGGGAGACCCTGGGAGTAACTTTGTCAGAGGGAGGGACAAAGGGGGGAGCAGCTCCAGAGCTTATCAACAGAAAAACAAAGAAGGAGGTGAAGAAAGTCCCTCAATACAAGTTGTCTCAAATTATCACAGTGATACAGACTTATCAGAAACCAATGAAATACAAATTAAATACTAATAAAATAAATACTATGGAAGACAGAAGAACACAGGGGAATGGAAGGGGCGCTCAGAGATTTAGGCTTTTCTCCTTTCTCCTCCAGACAGGCCACGGCCACCCAGGGCCCAGGTTTGGTCTTAGTCATATACAAGGAGGCCAGTCCAAGGGACCCTGGTGCCACTTCCCACCACCCCCGGGACCTCTTGTCCTCAGACGTGGAGTTTAACATTCCACCCCCATCATCAACCACACAACAATAACGATGACAGGGAGATGAGAACTAACTGTAACGCCCCCCTCAAAAAAAAAAAATCCAGTCACTAATGCTGGCGTTGATAAGGCGGCTTCTTGTTGGTCCGGATTATTGCCTCATTCTGCGGTCTGGTGCTGGGTGGGGGGAAAACATGGATGGTGGGGAAGGGTGAAATTGGGAGGAGAAAGAAGAAAAGGGAGGAGCTGTTTTCCCCATCAACTGTTCCAGGGGTGGAACTCCACCTCGGACCCCAGGAGCCGCAGTATCTCGGGCTCATACCGCACCAGCTCCACAGTCTCCGAGGAGCCCGGGGGGCACTCGTCCATGGCTCCGGGCCTCTCGGCAGGGGTCAGCAGCTGACTGGAGGCCACCTGCCTGTAGAACTCAGCCTTGGGCAAGGTGATAATTTCAAAGTGCGGGAACCGGGCCTGGAAGATCCTGGAGGAAAGCTTCAGCCTCTTCAGGACGTCAGTAAAGAGAAACCAGTTGCAGGGCCTGCAAAAGGCAAGGATGGGAGTTAGGGAAGGGGGTGGAGGGGAAGCGGTGGGCGTGCAGGGAACACTCTGGAAGGCTCAGGAAGGCTGCCCATCTGGCAATGCCCCCGACCCCCCACTAAACCAGAGGCTCCTTGGGTGTAGCTGAGGCAAACATTTGCTCCTACCCGCTCCACTGGCTGGCCCAGCTTTTCAGTTAAATGGCGAGCACTCCACCCATGACTGACCTCTTCCAAAAAATTGGGAGCAGGGGGAAAGGGCCTTCCAGAACCTAAAACTCTTAGCAGGCTCCCCTAGGCCTTCACCAGCACCATGCCCCAGAATTGACCATCTGTGGGGTCCAATTCTCCTTGCCACTGACCCTTGCAGCCCCACTGGTTCTCTTTCCTGTTCGCACTCTGGCTTCCCCTGCCTCCTTTTTCTCCAAGATCTTCCCCAGCAGAGGGGGGCCATGGAGAAAGGCCGAAACTGCGGGTAATCCAAAAGGCATTTCTCTTTGGCTCTGGAATGCATTAGACAAGTTTTTTCTCCAGCGGCAGCATCGTCGTTTCTGCAGGGCCGGAGCTCACATTACAGCCGGTCTGCCTTTGCTGAGCACACCCGACTGGGTGGCAGCCTGGGGACAGCTGAGAGGGGTGCTGGAGAGGCCAGTCATAAGCCAGCCGCTTGCGTGGACTAAACCAAGAAGCGATGCTGCATCCCCATGTCAGTGGTCCCTGCGTCCAGGGCTTTCCCTTCTTGCCATTCAACTGTCCCACGTCCAGCCTTCGCCACTTTTGGCCTGGACTATATTACATATTACATCAGCCTCCTAGCTGGTTTCCTTGCTGCCAAGAGTCACTTTTCTGCTCTCCAACCCTCACTGGACCCTCTGTTACTATTAGTTTTCTAAAAAGAAATCTGACCTGTTCACTCATTCCCTAAACAGTTTTCAATGGACCCCCAGTGCCTTCAGCAAAAAAACACATACCAAACTTCAAATTCTTTGGCGTGACATTATGCAAGACCTTCCAAGCATCATGACCCCATTCAACCTCTTTAGGCCAATCGTCACCCAACATACACACACACACACACACACACACACATACACACACACACACACAGAGTATCCTCCACCCAAGTGCCATCCATTTGGGGAAGGACTAGCCCTGTTTTCTGAACTTTTAGAACCTGGGTGTCCCAGTGCCTTTGCTCATGCCACACCCTCAATCTTCCTCTCCTCTCTGGCCTAGCTCAGATGCCATATTACCTGTTAAGCCTTCCGCCAATGTAGCTGCTTGCTCGTCCCACCCTCCACAGTCTCTGGCACTTGGTTCACACCCCTAGTATACTATCTATAATGGAGCCCATTTCGGAAAGGTGGAACTGCTTAAGACATGTTTATGGAATTGAAGGTTCTACACAGCGCCTAAAACTTCTACCAAGACCCACAATTCTTAGCCCTAAAATGCAACATTTCTTCCAAATGAGTGAAAACTGTCATCTTACACAATCAGGGAATGGAGTGCTCTGAGTTAAGAGAAAAGGACTATAAATACCATACACTTGGATCATCAAAGAATGGCAAACCCTGCCCAGCTGGTGTGGCTCAGTGGTTGAGCATTGACCTATGAACCAGGAGGTCACGGTTTGATTCCCAGTTAGGGCACATGTCTGGGTTGCAGACACGCAGGAGGCAGCTGCTCAATGATTATCTCTCACCATTGATATTTATCTCTCTCTCTCCTTCTCCCTTCCTCTCTGGAATCAATAAAAATATATTTAAGAAAAGAAGAATGGCAAACCCCCTAGAACACTGACACTAGTGATCAGAATTCAGGTTTGTTTTGATGATGCAGAAGGCACTCTGAACCCCACAAGGCCTCAGCAAGTCACTGTTCCACACCCCCCTACTTCTTGAAAAACAAAATTTTCACATCGTGCTGCAGCTGTGGGGCAGGGCAGATTCAGAAGAGGCACTAGAAGATGGAACATCAGGAAAACCAGCGTTACCCACACCCAGCTCTTGACCAAAAAACCTCCCTGCCACCCTGCTTGCCAGTGGCGTGCCGCCCAGGTTGCTTGTGTTCTGTCCACACCTAGAGCACACAGCCCTGGTCCTTTTACTGCCTGGGCCCAAGATCCTGTTTCAAAGAAGGAGGTGCTGAATACTTTGGAGGAATTAATTAACTGTGCAATACTATATCCCAGAGGCCCAGCCCCGCCCTCAGGGATCAGCTTATGCCCAGAAGAATAAGGACCAAAAGCCCCTGAAACTTGATCCCTACAGTGTCATCATATAGGCTATTTTTATTCTTATCTGGCCATGGGGGAAGGGATGCAAAGAAACTGTGGTGGAATGGTTGGCGTCCTCAATGGAGGAGCTCACTTGAAGGATTCCTAAGCCACTGTCCACTCCTCCCTCTATTGTGGGTTTTCACTTAAAAAAAAAGATCTGATATTTTAACAATAGATATCAAAGGAAAAGTATCCTTGAAAGTGTTTGCAAAGCTGTTTGAAATATGTGAAGGAGAGACCAGAGAGAAAATACTTGGTGAAGGCTAAGAAAAAAAGGACAATTCTTCCTTCATCACCCTAACTAGCACTGCCACACGCTGCCGTACGGCGAACCTGACAAGAACCGTGGCCCTGCAGGCTGCCCAACAGCCTTCCAAGTCATCAAACAGAGACTAAATTGGGTTCAGTTTAATGTTAAGTGTCAGGTAAATTCTAGCCTCCGACAATGGCTGATCCCTGATATAAAATACATGTTAATCTGAGATGACAGCACTGATGGCCATCCTCTCCCCAGCATTAAGTCTGTGAGAAAGCAGCCTGGGGATTACTTACAGACCCCAGGGGCCCCATACCTATGGCAACCATATGTCCTGACCTTTCCTAGACTCTCGATTTCAAATATTCTGTCTGGCTGTCCCCAGAAACCACAAAAATGTTCCAGAGATTCTAATAGTTCAGCAGTCCAAATATCTCCCAGATCCTCTCTTTCACCCAGGAACAGCACAAAACTCCTCCAGAGAGTGAAGCTAGATTTGGGGTTTGGGAAATAAATACACTCAGCGTATGTAGAGCTAACAGCCCAGCCTCTGTTGTGAACATAACCAATCTGGGCTGGAAAGTGAGGATGGCCTTAGTCATATATTATCTTTCTCATGTTGCAGCATTTGTCTCCAGGTCTCGGCTTCCTTCTGGAGAATTCCACCCTCCAAGGAAGGCAGACCAGGGGTTGCCAGGATCCTGGTGCTCAGTCCCCATAGGTCTCTCAGACACTTACCCGTGGGACACTGACACTTGGAGGTTGTAGCAAGGGAGAAGAGGCTTGTCTGAGAGCTCAAACATAAAATCATCCTTTTCGCCATCGTCTCCTTCCTGATCAGAACTCCCAGGGGGGTTATGTAGGAGGTCACAGGCAAACCCTTCTTTTTCATCTGTAAGGAGAGCACACAGGGAATTAGGACTTAGCTAGATGCACAAAACCAAAGAACAGACATGTTCCAACAACACAAAGGGGTATGGCCCTGGTTGGTGTGGCTGGGTTGGTTGGTGCTTCGTCCCATGCACAGAAAAGTCTCGGGTTCGATTCCTAGTCAGGGCAGGTGCCTGGATTACAACGGGTTTGATCCCCAGCTGGGGCACAAACAGGAAGCAACCAATCAATGTTTCTCTCTCACATCAGTGTTTTTCTCTCTCTCCCCCTCTCCCTTCCACTTTCTCTAAAAATCAATGGAAACATATCCTCAGGTGAGGATTAAAAAAACCCCAAAAGACAGCCCAAGCCAGTTTTGCTCAGTGGTTGGAGCATCGGCCTGAGGACTGAAGGTTCTCAGGTTGATTCCGGTCAAGGGCACATATCTTGGTTGCAGGCTCTATCCCCAGCCTAGTCCCGCTCACGGTGTGTACGGGAGGCATTCAGTCAATGTTTCTCACATCAGTGTTTCTCTCTGTCTCTCCACCACCCTTCTAGTCTCTCTAAAAAATCAATTGAAAAATATCCTCCTCGGGTGAGCATTAACAACAACAAAAAGACAAAGGGGTATAAAGGTGGGTGATTAGAAGAAAAACAGCAAGCCTACAGAACCCTGGCCAGGGCCAAGGTTCAATAATCCCACGGCACATGAAAGTTCGAGCTCTGGAAGACAGTAATCTTTTGAGGCCAGAGATTCATTATACTACTCCACCTTTCAGTTGGAAAAAAGCAAGGTGATGTGAAGGATGAGCTGCTCCACTGCTGGAGATGAAAGCCTGAAGATACCATCATGGTCAAAGGCAAGGTTAAAAACACCTGTTCTTCTCCCCCCCACCCCCCATTTTCCAAAACCACCCCAACTGCCTGCTGGAATCTCCAAAAGCCCAGAGGGGGCTTGGCCAGCTCCCTTGCCCAGATGAGTGTGGGTATGGTATATTTCACTCTGTCCCCACCTGCTCCTGCTCCTGCTCCAGCTCCCCTGAAGCTTAGAGGTTGGTGCTTCCCTCAGCCTGCAGCCCCTGGCCTGACGGTGAATGATAGGCAACTGACACGGATAAAGACTGGCTGCTCTTCTCAGAGAGGAAAACTTGGGCCAGAAGGCTAAGGGCTGGGGAGATGGTAGCTATCTCAGAAACTGTACACCAGTGATGGCGACCCTATGACACACGTGTCAGAGGTGACACGCAAACTCATTTTTTGGGTTGATTTTTCTTTGTTAAATGGCATTTAAATATATAAAATAAATACCAAAAATATAAGTCTTTGTTTTACTATGGTTGCAAATATCAAACAATTTCTATATGTGACACGGCACCCAGAGTTAAGTTAGGGTTTTAAACATGCTGACACGCCAAGCTCAAAAGGTTCGCCATCATTGCTGTACACATTGTGGGGCCAGGGGAGGGAGGGAGTGGCAGCTGCCAGATGAGGGGCTGGGTCTCTCTCGAGTGTGAGCGATACCACAAAAGGTGACAATGTGCATAAGGGTGGTGCTTCTGGCTGGGTTAGGACAAAACAAGGGAAGAGAAAGGGACCGTGGAAGAGAGCAAATTAAAAATAAATACCCAGGGTGGGGTTGGTAGAGGGCTAATGATAGCTTTTTCCAAATAAGCAGCATCTCCTAGTTTAGGCCAATGGGTTCTGAATCTGGGGGAGGCAAGCACTAGAGTTTGGGCTGAAAAGGTCTATAAGCTACTAACAGTAACAGGGGAAGAAGGGCAATTTCCACAGGGTCACTCCGGCCTTTAAGAAGAATTAGTGAAATACAAAGCAAATCCCACATCTCTGAGCCATAGATAGGGGTGGGGGTGGGGGAAGAATCCCACCGCAAGCTTACCCAATACGGAACTGCTGTAAAAGTCCCAGGATACACCAGGATCACCCTCTGCACGGCCCTGAAGATCCGAAAGGTGATCTGATAAAAGAAGGGAAGGCAGTGAGACAAGGAGGGTAGGCTGGATAAAGAATCTGAAGCAAAGTACATACACATGGGCTTAGGAACATGGGAGAAGGGGAGGACCACAAGAGGGGCTGGGAGTGATGAGAGAGTGATGTGCTTCTGGCTGTCAATGACAGGTTGCAAGCCAGCAGCCAGGAACCAAATCTGGCCCACTGACCACCTGGGGGTTGGCCCAGTGTTTTAAACAAACAAAAATTAATAATAATAATTAACATCCATCATTTTAAAACTGAGAGCTTTCACTTAAAAAAAATCCAGATTTCCAACTTCTCTTGAAAAAAATATTAGAAGATCTGGCAACACTGAATCCACATTCCTGCATGTCAACAGTTGGCTGGAGGGAGAGGCGACATGTGCTATTGTCCAATTCAACAGTCCCCACCCAGCCTGCTCTGCTCTCTTACAGGATCAGCCTGAAGGCATTTAGGTCTGGGATCCCTGCTTTAAATGGTGCAGGGCAATTACACTGCAAGCAGAGTCCTAGACCTATCCCAGGACTTTTAATTCCCTGCTGGTTACAATGTTTATTTATCCAAATCATTTTTTAAAATGTATTTTATTGATTTTTTACAGAGAGGAAGGGAGAGGGATAGAGAGTTAGAAACATCAATGAGAGAGAAACATCGCCAAATCATGATCTCCCCAATTCAAAGTAATATAAGGAAGCACAATTCCTGTTTCATCTTTGAAAACCATCTAGGAGCCCTAACCAGTTTGTCGGCCTGTGGACTGAAGGGTTCCGGGTTCCATTCTGGTCAAGGGGTAAAGGGCATGTATCTCGGTTGCAGGCTGGATCCCCAGCCCTGGTCAGGGACCCGTGTGGGAGGCAACCAATTGATGTGTCTCTCTGACATCGATGTTTCTCTCTCTGTGTCTCTTTTCCTCCCTTCCACTCTCTAAAAATAAATGGAAAAATATCCTCAGGTGAGGATTAACAACAACAAAAAACATCTAGGAGATGGCCAAGTTTATCCTCACAAAAACCTTTCACATGGGTGTTCAAGCAAAAACTAACACTCAAATGCTCACAGCAGCTCTGTTCACAATAGCTCCAAAGTGGAAACAACCCAAATGTTATTCAGCTGATAAAGGGATAAGCAAATGTGGTATATCCATACAATGGAATATTATTCAGCCATAGGGAGGAATGAAGTGCTAATGCATGCTCCAATTTAGATGAAATTTGAAAACACCATATTAAGTGAAATAAGCCGGACATAAAAAGGCCATATATTATATGGTTCCATGTATATGAAATATCCAGAACAGGCACATTTAGAGATACAGAAGCAGATTGGTGATTGGGAGGGAACAGGAAGTGACTGCCTAATGGGTACAGGGTTTCCTTTGGGGGTGATGAGGAAGTTCTGACACTCGATAGTGGTAATGTTTGTACAACATTGTGACTATACTTAATACCACTCAATTGTACACTTTAAAATTCTTAGAATAATAAATTGTGTTATAAGCACTTTACCACAAAAAAATTGTAACCACCTTTTGCTTGCTTGACCTGAGGACAGACATCAGGTCACCACTTAGCCTCCTTGTTTCCTAGCTACGCTTCATCTAGTGGAACTGTTTCAATTTTCAGTCCCACGTGGACAAAAAGCAGGTCTTTAACAACAAATTCAACTGTGTCATCTGTGGGCACATGGCCCTGCGGTTACCAATATGCCACCTCGTGCAATTGGCAAGCTGACTTAGCTGTGTATGGTTGCCACCAGCCCTTAAGGGACACATGGGCAACAGGACGGGAGAGTCCACAGGGCACAGATGAGGTGAGAGTGCCCCCTGAAAATGAAATCCCAGGAGGAAGTGAGCAGGCAGCCACTCTTAAAGGAGCAGAGCTATTTTCCCCTGATGGTAGGTCCTATCCACGCCAACATACCTTTATCTTCACACATCCTATCAGCAAAAATACCTCTTAGCTGTTGTGACCTGGTGAAAGGAATCCGTTTTTAGCAGCGTTCTAGGAGATGAAGGGTTTCTTCTAGTAGGAAAAGGCAGCCAGAGAGAAGCTTTCAAAGTAACGGCTGAGCAGCCAAAATGGAAAACCTTTAGTCAAGTATATTAGATCTTTTGTTCATTCTATGAAAAAACTCTGAGGTCACGGCTGCCAGCTTATGTGCTCTTCTGTACCCTGTCACTTTAGAGTTGACAGTGGTTTCTTCCTAAAGCATTGGTCAGTCAGGCAGGTGTCTATTCTGTGCCTAGCCCTGTGCTAGGTGTGCTAGGAGATCCAGGGATGAGATCATAAAGATAGGGACCACATCTGTCTTGTTCATCACTGTCTCCTTAATACCCAAGCCCAGGTGCCTACATATAGTAAGAACATAATATATGGGAAAGAAAGGAAGGGAGCCCTAGCCAGTTTGGCTCAGTGGATAGAGCATCGACCTGTGGACTGAATGATCCCAGGTTCAATTCCAGTCAAGGGCATGTAGCTCAGTTGCAGGCTCAATCCCCAAGCCTGGCCAAGGTGTGTGCAGGAGGAAACCAATCCATGTGTCTCTCTCACATTGATATTTCTCTCTCTCTGTCTCTCCCCCTCCCTTTCACTCTCTCTAAAAAATCAATAGAAAAATATCCTCGGGTGAGGATTAACCAAAATAACAAAATAAGGGAGGGAGAAATTACAAGGCAAGACCACAGACTATAAAGTAATGTGCTTGCTTAACCAACATGCGGAAACCTATGCGTTCAAATGACTGCAGTCTCCACCAAGAGGTCACACGAGGACTCCATCAGAGTAGCCCTAGGTCACTACATTCCTAGGACGCCTCTCTGGAAACTGCCTTCAGAGCCCCCGGCACATTCCTCTAGTTCTCCTAACAGCAAATCTTTGTAATTTGCAGGTGAATTTCCCTTTTTGAGATAGCCAAAGTTAACTGGCATGAGCAAAGATGCAAAAGTCCGAACAGGCCCATGAGTGGAACACAAGAAGAAACTACAAGGCTTGCTCGATGGTGCAGCTTCAAGTCACATTTCCTCACAGGTCTTCACATACAATCAGGATGGAGACTGACTTTCCTTTTCCTTTCCCCCTCCCATAACTTTCAGTCCTTTACTCTTATTCTTTCCTGAAAAATAACCCTCAGTCCAGCCCGGCTGACATGGCTCAGTGGTTGAGCGTCGACCTATGAACCAGAAGGTCACGGTTCGATTCCTGGTCAGTGCACATGCCAGCGTTGCGGGCTCCATCCCCAGTGGGGTGCAAGCAGGAGGCAGCTGATTGATGTTGATATTTCTATATTTCTCTCCTTCTCCCTGCCTAAAAAAATTGAGGATTAACCAAAATAATCCTCTCTCTCAAAAAAAAATAAATAAAAACATAGTTTTAAAAAAAATAGCCTCAGTCCATCAATCCTCCTCCTAGGTATATAACAAAAAAGCTGAAAACTGGTACCCAAACAAATGCTTGTACCATGCACATTTACAGCAGCTCTAGTCACAATGGCCAAAAGGTGAACACAACCCAAATGTGAGTCAACTGATGCATGGGTAAAGAAAATGTGGTATATCCATACAATGGGATATTATTCAACTTAAAACAAATGAGGTACTGAAACATGCTACCACATAGGCGGGCCTTCAAAACATGCTATTCCATGAAAGAAGTCAGACACAAAAGGCCCCATACTATACGATTCTGTTTATATGAAATGTCCAGAATGAGCAAATCCATAGAGACAGAAAGTAGATGAGTGGTTGCCAGGGGCTGGGGAGAGAGGGAAATGAAAGCAACTGGTTAATGGGGCACGGGGTTTCATTTTGGGGGTGATGAAAATGTCTTGGAACGAAATAGAGGTAGTGGCTGTACAACATTGTGAATGCACTACATGTCACTGAATTGTTTACTTTTGAAGGTTAATTTTATGTGAATTTTGCCTCGATTTAAAAAAACTGTTTTAAGTACTCAGTGTGAGTGGTCACCATGGAAATCAGAGATTCTCTATTTTCCAGGGTCCCAACAGACCACTCCCCATCTCCTCCAACCAAGTTGCCAGCTGAGGGACATGAAAGGGGAGAAAAACAAAAAACAAGCGGTCTTCAACATGGGGTCATACAGCAGAGATCTTTGGCAGGAAAAACAAAAACCTGTGATTCAGTGACCTCAAGTGGTAAATTGCTAACCCTTTCATCAGTGGAAGGAAAAGCAGTCCCGATACTTCCTCCAATGCCCCAAACCAAACGGCAACAACGCCCCAAGCTCCCACATTCTTTCCAACAAAGGAGGAAAAATGAACCTGTTTTCCCTTGGCTAGCTTGGATATTATTCTTCCCTTCAAAGGGTCAAAGGTAAATCAGTCACATGCCTGCCTGTCATTTGACCCGAGGAGGAGGTCTTCCAAAGGCCTTTGGAGGGAGGTTGGATGGCTTGGTGCTCCAAGCCCCAGGATGTAAGAGAAAGGGCTCACTATCTGACCTCTAGTACCCAGCACTGTACCTGAAAACTAACAGGCGATCACTAAATGCATGGATGAATAAACGCATGAAGGAATGCCACTACATCCTTCACGAGCTCGGGAGAAATGGGCCTCATTTTAAGCCAACCCAATGCAGGAGATCCAGATGAATTTATAACCCAGATGAATACCAACCTGCTTTACAAAAGGATTCACTACAGATACCCGTAAATAGTAATATTCCTTTGCGTATTTAAAAGAGGATCTGATTCCCAGACTCCTCCTGAACAAGGGCCTTGCACAAAGTGAGGGAAGCTCTACATAAGGCGCAACCCTGATGCTCTCGCTCACCTTTCCGGCTGCGAGCCCTTTGCACCCTATGGGGATTCTCCTTCATTTTCTGCCCAGTGGGATCCCCACTAGGGGAGGTAGAAGACAACCTATGGAGAGTCTGATCAGGCAAATGCTTGGAGATGAAAAGCAAAAAGCTTTTAAAATACTTCAGCCAGATAGGAAGGGTAAAAGAAAAATCCAGAAGTCCACCCAAATGCATCCAGGTGTAGGGACAGGGAGGTGGGGGAATGGAGGGAACTGCCTCTCCAACCTCCAGCCTCATGGTGCTTCCTAGAGCCACTGTGCCACTCTACCCAGTGGCTTCTTGAGCTCTGAGAAAAAGGGATATGAGGACAGAAAAAGAGAAATACTCACTTTAAGGAACCAAAAAAACACCTGATGATGGTTGCACGACATTGTAAATATATTAAGTGCGAAACAGTTGTTAGGTGAACTGTACCTGGATTTTTTAAAAAAGACCTTGCATATTGCCCTCACATTCTCCCAAACAGCCTTTGGACCCAAGGCCCCCCTCCTGGAAGCCCACTGACTCTCAGTGCCTGCCTTCCTGGGGTGGCGGGCTAAGGTCCTGGCCTCCAGGCTTGTTCACACTTTCCCCAATAGCCAGACAGAGATCTCCCTTTAATGCCACTTTTCCATTTGCATGGAAAAGATGTGGTTCAGTTTTAACATTCCTTTCAGCTCCTGGACCCCATTATGAAGCTACAGCTCCACCCCGTAATGTTGAGAAACAATGTCAAGATTTGAATAAAGGTGCTCGGCCTGGACAAGCTAGAAAGTGCAGGAATTAAGAAAAGTCTTCTCTTGCTTCTGCAACAGGGATTGGCACTCGAGTCAGTTTAAGGAGGCATCAAAAGGCTACCTATTTCTCATAGAAATGAGAAGAAGAGAGAGAAACGTATTTATTTCTAATTTCTTAACTACTTAAAATGGTTTCGACATTCAAACTCTGTTGGGATTTTGGAGAAGGGGTCAGAGAAGTAAAGAGTTCGTCTGCTGCCCTGCTGGTGTGGTTCAGTGGTTGAGCGTCGACCTATGAATCAGGAGGTCACAGTTTGATTCCCGGTCAGGGTACATGCCCAGGTTGCAGGCTCGATCCCCGGTGGGGGGCGTGCAGGAGGCAGCTGATCATCATTCCCTCTCATCATTGATGTTTCTCTCTCCGCCTCTCCCTTCTTCTCTGAAAAATAAATAAATAAATAAATTTATTTTTTTTAAGAGTTCGTCTGCTAACTCAGGTGGTCAGAGATAGCTTTATGTGGACCCAGAAGGCCCCAAGACCCTCAGGAGCTCAGGAGGACAGTCTCTAGACCACAGGGGCCCTGGATTAGAGCTGTTGATTTGAGATAGAGCTTCATGCAGTGCATTTATCAAGTTGAGATACTCTGGATGGTCACCTGTGCCAGCTTTTCCTGGGAATCGAGTGGTGTGCAGACACCTCCACATGTGTGCATATAAGAGAGTACATGTATGGTATGTGGGAGGAGGCCACAAGAGTGCTTGCCTCAAGTCCTGCACTCTGGGAATGGTTCAGCCAAGGGAATAGGAGTCATCATTGTCCCAGGACAAATGACTGAATGGGCATCACAAAGTGGCTCTGCCCCTTGATGATAGGGGCCTAGGATGCCAGAGCTGGGGGAAAGGAAAAGACAGTCCTTCCCTGAGCCAGGGAGAGGCTGGGTCTGGCTGTGAGGCCTGAGGCCTGTACTAGGTGATCAGCAACTGCTGGGTTTAGCTGACTTGACTGGGGACAGAATGGAGGCTGCCTGAGCAGAAGCCAAGGCCTCCCTCAGTGGCATTCCACCATTCCCCTTCAGCTTTTATTAGCATCTAGGTGGCACTTCCCATCTAGTCTTCCTTTCATGAAGATCTTCAGTTCTGGTTCCTCTATCATCAGCTACCTAGTTAACCTTTGTTCAATAAACAAATGAGCCCCTGGTTGGGAGCCCAGAACTGCCTCTCTGGGGCATGTGTGGTGTGGGGGCAGGGAGAGGTGGGGAGACTAACCAGGAAGTGACCTTGAGCAAACCCTTGGTCCTGTGGGCTTCCAATCCCAGAGGGGTTCTACCACAAACATCAACACCTCCAAGGAGGGTGAGTGATACAGCTCCGTCTGTCTGTCACTCAGGCAGTCTGAAGAAGTAACTGCTAGAGGGAGGGCCAAGCTGCGATGTTATTGAGGAGGCAGGGTTTCTTCCTTCAAAGGTCAAGATTCCCACTGAGCATGCCCGAGCTAGACTTCCCTCCTTATCTTCCTCCCGCTGCCCAACTCACTATAGCTATCTAACTGCAGACAAACAGCTGCCATCTGCTCATGAGAAAGCGAACGCATGTTGGCTTGTGGCCCTTGCCATAGGCCTGAACACCAGACACTTTTTCACAGGGGTTAGGTGAGGATGAGAAAGGAAGGCGGGGGGGTATGCAGAGGGAACAACTCAGTTACCACAGGCAAGGGCTGTGAGAAATAAAGTGCCAGGAGGGGTCCCAAGGGTTCTACTCTGATCACCAACAGGAGAAAATGCAAAAACAGAAAACAAAACACTGTGTCACTTCTTTGCAACTGATATCCCATTCAAAGCAGAGGTCAATACATTTTTCCCCCAATTAAATCTGTTAGTGGGGCTGCTGTCCCATAGGGAGGCCTGCCCTACATGCCTCGCTAGGAAATGGGTCCCCGCAGGCTAGCAGGGTCTTGAAGAGGATGCATTCAATGTGGACACTCACAGCACAAGGACAAGAGGAAGTGGGCCTTTGGGCTTTTTAAAGTATATAGAGATTTCTGAGACGCTTGAAAGAAAGCCTGTGAAAAGGGCTGACGCCTCTCAAGGGAGCTGTTTGAGATGGAGGGAGATAGACTCTCTCCTCAGGAATTCAGGACTCAAAAGCCAGTCTCAAGGATGCTGGCTTCAAGTCTGGGCTGTGCTTACCGCTGAGAAAGCGCTTCATGGTATCGCTGCTGGCCAGCTTCATGGCTGTCTGCCCCGAGTAGGTGGCCAGTGTGGGGTCGGCCCCATAGGACAGCAAGAGCCACATGGTCTCCAGGTTGTCGTTGACTACTGCGTCATGAACTGGCCTGTGGAGGTGATACAGGGTGAGGACAATAGGGCCCAAGTGGTAACCTGGGTGTCTAGACCTCAGGCTGCCTTGTCAGGGAGAAGTAAAATGAGATGACCCCAGTACAATGTGGGTAAGACTTAGAGGAGAGGAACCATCTCTGGCCTGCACCCCCCACTGCATCTCCCCACCTCCTCTCTCCCTGTGCTCTTCTCCTCCCTTCCATTTCTCTCTCTTATGTTCCCCCACATATTGAGACTGTCTCTATGGCACAACGAAGCTCCACTGGTACTACTGGGGTTGGAGAGAATGGACCCCGACTGAGGATAAACTTAAAGCAGATGCTTGGAGTTATGAACAGAAGGACCCGATGACTTCCCATGAGCAGGGATGAGCAGAACAGCTCTACACGTGGTGGCCAAACAGAGCCAGAGTCCTTTGACCCAAGTCCCCCCACTTGGTATGTGGCTCATGTTTCAATTTTGCCAGGAAGTAAGCTCTCTGATAGAGCAGACGAGAATGGGTGCAATTTCTATAAGACACAGCATGTGTCTTCTTAAAAAGGGTATAGAGATCAATCAAGAATCAAATCAGGCCCTAACTGATTTAGCTCAGTGGACAGAGGGTCCTAACTGATTTAGCTCAGGGACCCTTTAGCCTGCAGACTAAAGGGTCCCTGGCATGACTCTGGTCAATGGCATGTACCTGGGTTGTAGGTTCGATCCCTGGCCTTGGTTCATGTGGGAGGCAACCAATCAATGTGTCTCTCTCACATCGATATGTGTGTCTGTGTATCTCCCCCTCCCTTCCACTCTCTCTAAAAATCAATGGAAAAAATATTCTCAGGTGAGGATAAATAAATAAAGTGTAGCCATTAAAAAAAAATTAAATCTGTATGTTACCCTAGTGCCTGAAGCCTGAGACTCTGCCCGAGACAGGTGCAGCACGAGGATGGTTTGAGGAAAGCCTGAGCAGTCTTCCTGGCAAAGATGCATCTGATGGGGTGATCCCTAGACAACCTCAGTCTCCCCCTGGTAAATGTTGTGGACTGGCCAGCTGGGAACACATCCATCCCTGCCCTAATCTGGTCCCCACTGCAGTCTGCAGATCTCTTCCTAAAACCCCTCCTGACAAGGCCTCTGTGCAACTCGCAGCCTGGCAGCCTGTCATGCTGCAAAGGTCTAGACTGGAGCTGAGCTGGGGGAGGGTGGGAGTGGCAGAGAGGGGTGGGGGGGGAGCGTGCCTGGTGCCATCCTGTGCACTGCAGTTCACATTGGCCCCATGTTCCAGCAGGATGTTCAGAATTTCGGTCCAGCCCCGGGAGCAGGCCTCATGCAGGGCTGTGTAGCCGGCGTTGTCGCGGTGATTCACATCCTCACTGTCTTTCTGGAGGCAGTAGAGAACAACGTCCTGTGGGGACAAGGATAGCTCCATGAGCAAAAAGTGGCCTAATTCTTGAAACCACCTCAGTTAGGTTCAAAGCTCTCCAAATGTCTGGGAGAGTCTCAGAGCCTGCCCTTTATTCTGGGGACCAACAGGCAAGTCTCAAAATCTTTTGTCAAGAAAGTTAGCCCTGCCCTAACTGGTCTGGCTCAGTGGATAGAGCATCGGCCTGCAGATGCAAGGGTCCCAGGTTCGATTCCGGTCAAGGGCATGTACCTTGGTTGCGGGCATATCCCCAGCAGGAGGTGTGCAGGAGGCAGCTGATCAATGTTTCTCTCTCACTGATGTTTCTAACTCTCTATCCCCTCTCCCTTCCTCTCTGTAAAAAGTCAATAACATATATATATTTTTTAAAAAGTTAGTCCTGCCCTAGCCAGTTTGGCTTAGTAGATAGAGTGTCAGCCCATGGACTGAAGGGTCCTGGGTTCGATTCTGATCAAGGGCAGGTACCTCTGTTGCAGGCTCGATTCCCAGCCCTGGTTGGGGCATGTGCAGGAGGCAACTAATAGATGTGTCTCTCTCACATTGATGTTTCTCTCTGTCTCTCCCCATCCCTTCCACTCTCTATAAAAGTCAATAGAAAAATATCCTCAGGTAAGGATTAACAGAAAAAGAAAAAAACAACAACAACAAAGTCAGCCCTGAGCGGCCATCACCAGGGCCTCAGCTCTGGACTGTTTCCTCACCAATGGGGAGGCATTTCTCATGAACAACAACACTCATCTGGGTGTGGGTTGTTGTGGTGAGAGCCTCAGAGAGGCTCACCTACCCACCCAGAGCCCATACCCTCAGGCCTCGACTCCCTGAGCACTGGTTCCCTAGTCTGGTGCTTTGCAAAGGCAATGGGACATGTGGTGACAAGCATAGCCTCTGCTGGTAATTTGAGAGCAAGGAAGAAAGAATTGGTTTAAGTACTACCCGTGGGTGCTGGTTTTCATCATTTTAAGTACTATACCTGGATGCTTATCTCAGCCCTCCCCTAATCAAGACTGTTCCTTGCCCTAGTCAGTTTGGCTCAGTGGATAGAGTGTCAGCCTGCAGACTGAAGGGTCCCAGGTTTGATTCCGGCCAAGAGCACATACCTCAGTTGCAGGCTTGTTCCCTGGCACCAGTCGGGGGACAACCAACCAATGTGTCTCTCTCACATTGATGTTTTTCTCTCTGTGTCTCCCCCTCCCTTCCACTCTCTCTAAAAATCAATGGGGAAAATATCCTCCAGTAAGGATTAACAAAAACGACAAAAAAGACTGTCCTGAGTATAATCCAGTGTGGTCATTTGTCCAGGTAGTAATTATTAGCTTCCCTGGGCTGAGATGACAGGATCAGAAGCAGAATTCCAGGCCCAGAAGCACCTTAACTAGTCTGGGATAAAGCTGGTGAATAAGCTGAGGGGAAGGGAGAGGCAAGCCTTCTTCTGAGGGAAGAGACCACAGCACCTACCAGGGGCCCATATCAACCTTCCCAGGCCCTGGTGAAAATGGCCTGCTCAGCCATACTGATTGACAGCTAGCTCACAGGATGGCCGGTAGAGTGAGTGAACAAGTGTGCACATGAGCACGTGTGCCTGCATTGGGGATGCTGCCTCAGGGGTGCTGCCTCCTGCTTGTGCCCCAGGGAGCAAGAGGCCCCTGACTCTCCTAACCACTGCAGATGTTCGCCTCTTCCCCGGGCCTCAGACTACCCCTCTCTCCCACCTGTGACAGGCTGCCCTACCGCTCTGGCCCTGTCCTGGTTAGTTTTCCTGCAGTTTCCTGTTTGCGGTTTGGCCCCAGGTTAAAGAAAATTCATCTTGAGGGCAGGGGTTGCTTATCGTTTTCTCTTTAGATCTCCCTTGGCAGTTCTCCAGGCCCCTACACTAGGTGCTCAAGAAAGATCATAGCTTACCAGTGAGACACTGGGAGTGCGATAGCCATTAAATGAGTTGGTTACAGCCCGGCCTGTGTAGCTCAGTGATTGAACATCAACCTATGAACCAGGAGGTCATGGTTCGATTCCCAGTCAGGGTTTATGCCTGGGTTGCAAGCTCAGTCCCCAGTAGGGGGCATGCAGAAGGCAGCCAATCAATGATTCTCTCTCATGATTGATCTTTCTATCTTTCTCTCCCTCT